ATTTTTTTGATAGTTAATAATGAAATGGGATAGAACCTATTATTCTTTAGAAGAATTTTAAGTTTCCGCAAGACTGGATTTTGTTTGTTTATTTAATCCTCTATTAGTGATCTCCAGCTTTATTGCTTTTTGATCAAAGAAAATGACCTTCATAATTTCTGTTCCTGGATTTCATAGTTTTTTGGGGGCGAGGGGGGGGTGGGATGCTGGTAAACTAGTTTGTGATCTATTTGGCATATAGTCTATCTATCCTTGAAAAAATATCTCATTTAAATTACAGGTTACAGAGTTATTTTATTCAAATTATGTATTACTTATTTTAGCTATTTTAACTTAGAGACAAACAAATGTTTTAAATTGTCTTAATAACTTTATTGCTATCAATTTCTCCTTATATCTTTTTTCTTAGCAGCATATATTTTAATTCTGTGGTTAAATATCTAAGATTTTGGGACCACTATATCTCGTAATTGAGTTTCTTTGTTTTGAGAAAGGCTCTCATGTTTCTCATGATGTTCTCAAACTTCTGGGCTCAAGTGATTCTCTCCCCTCAGCTTCCTGAGTAGCCTTACAGCACCCTGCCCAAATTTTTTTTCAATGTATTTTTTAATCAAATAAATAATGTCTTTCGTTATTCTATTTAGTGTTTTTGGCATGTTGGAAACATCAATAGTTCTTATATTTAATTTCTCTACACTTGATAAAGGGTGTATGTGTGTGTGTGTGTGTGTGTGTGTGTGTATCCTTTTGTTTTAGGTATATCTGTTGTAGGGAAATTCATTTGGATTTTATTTTATTGTGGTACTGGGGATTGAACCCAGAGCTTTGCACATGTTAGACAAGCACTCCACCACTAAGCTACATCCCCTACCCTTTTTGTATTTTATTTTGAGGCAGGGAATTGCTAAATTGCTGAGGCTGGCCTAGAACTTTCAATCTTCCTGCCTTGGCCTCCAGAATCATGGGGATTACAGCTGTGTACTATGGTATTTGATTTGGATGTTAATTTTCAACCCAAAGTAAAGATATTAGTCTATTAATAGGGGACCTTAACCTTTTTTTAAAAAAATCAATATTGATATATTTAATCTTAGTCTCTTTCATCTTACTTCAAAAAAATTTAAATGTTTGTTATCTGGTTTCTATGTTTTGCTATATTGATAGGGCTTTTATATTTTAAATTCTCTCAGCTTTGAAAGGTGTATGCTCTGTTTTTAGTTTCATTAGTGCATATCTAGTTATTAAATTTTCTTTCTGATTTATATATTTAATTATTAAAGTAAAAAGAGACAATGAGAAATTGAGCATATTTTTACTATCCTTTTAACAATGTCATCCATGTACTTTTTTTTTTACTATAACCCTAGGTTTGGGATGCAGGTTATTAATGTTTACATTATGCATCTTCTCTTTGAGGAATGAGTTTCGCTCTCTGCATTCATGAACATGACCATATTTGTTTTTTAGACTTAATTTCAACTTAATCTGTTTTAAAGAGCCAAAATTTCTTTTGTGCTGTGATATTCTCATGTTAAACTTTTAATTTTGAATCACTTCTTTGCTGGTGTGTGCCTTCAAGAAAACGTTTCAACAAGGGATGCATTTGTTTGAACCTTGCAATTTTCAGAATGACTTTGTTATCCTTTGTTATGAACTCAACTGTGTCCCCCTCAAATTACAATGTTGAAGCTCTCACCCCCAGAGTAACTATATTTGTACACATGGCCTTTAAGCAGGTAACTAATGTTAAATGAGGTCACAAGGATGGGGCCCCAATCCAATAAAACTGGTGTCCTTATGAGAAGAGGAAGAGATGACAGAGTAAGCACAGAGGAAAGGCTGTATCAAGATACAGGCAGCTGCTGCAAGTCAGGGAGAGACACCCCAACAGAAATCAACCTGCCTGTAACTTAACCTTGGCTTTCCAAACTCCACAACTGCGAGAAAGTACATTTCTGTCATTTAACGCACCTGTTCATGGTATTCTGCTGGGGCCACTGGAGCAGACTAACATGTTTTCACACATGGATTTCTGGACTTCACACCATACCATCCCAGAATCACTATTGTTTTCATAGTGAGCTGTGCTTGCTCAAGGGTTAAGAGTGGCATGGAGTGAGCGCGGGGATTGGGATGGGGATGGGAGACGTGTTTGGCTATTAAAAAAAAAAAACAGTCTTGGATTCAGAGGAATGACAACTCACTTTTCAGATATCATTGAACCAAGTGAGAGAGGGTTTAATTTCTTTTTTTTTTCTTTCCTTCTTTTTTCTTCAGGAGGAATCAGGAAAAGCCTGAATAAATTGTTTTAAACTTAACTCCAGGACTAGGGATATAGTTCAGTTGATAGAGTGTTTGCTTCGCATGTACAAGGCCCTGGGTTCAATCCCCAGCACCACCAAAAAAACAAAACAAAACAACAACAAAAAAACTCAACTCCATCATAATAATAAATAGTAAATTTCCCTCTATCCTTTCCATTCCAGCAAGGTGGGATACTATTATTGCTATTATTAGTTTTTGCTATGTGATTTCATCTTTTTTGTTAGTCTTCATAAGACTGAGGCAAGACTGTGCAAAGAACGTTCTATTTTTGTAGAAATTTCTATTTTAAACCTTTCCAGGAGATGCTATTTCTTTTCAGTTGGCTCATGAAAACCCTCTCTCTAGAAGAAGACGACAACCCAATGTTCTGAAGGGCTCAAAAGGGGTTACCAAGGTATCTGAGGAAGCTTAGAAACACATGTTTTGTCTTTTGTGAGAGTTGCATGTTTGTGATCATACTGAGGTTAATAATAGCCCAACAGAGGCCCTGAAGACCAGGACAATGCTTTGTCTTCCCCCATGAAATTTCCAACTGTCTCCAGTGGAGAATGAACCAAGAAGGAAGGAGGCCTGGCTCATGCAGAAGTGCTGCATGGAGAGCTCCCTGGGGCGGGGGGGGGGGTACAGCCAGAGAAGGGGGCTGCTCCCTCTGTTCATTTGTGGTGCCCTTTATTGATCATTCAATGCATTATTGTGCAGCTATTACATATCAGGCACTCTGCTAGGAGTTAGGTGACCATGCCATAAACAAAGTAGGTAACTTGTAGGTGACCTTTTGGTGGAGTTTCCAGTAAGGTCCTCAAGGTGGTAGGTGCACCTGTGGGGAAGCACATCTGTGCACTGTCACTATGAGGATTTTCCCCACTGGTCACAAAGACTGGGTGGAAGTCCCAGGGCAAGAGTGCAGATTGAGCTTCTATCTAAGAGTCTTTCTAACAATCAGACCTTCCTGCCAGCAGGACAATCCCCAGATAAGTTCCCTGCCACTGGGACAGTTCAAGTTGAGGCTGTCAAGGCACCATGGGTGAAGCCTCAAGATTTGTCATGTAGATCTGTAACCTTCTTGGAGATGGGTCTGTATCTTGTTCTGTTTTGTATCTGGTGCCTCACAGTGCCTGGCGTACAGCGGCACTCAGTAAATGTTTGGCAGGTGATGAGTGGATGGGTGAATAAAGTGGAAAAGGGCTACACTAGGTCTTCCAAGGTCCTCTCATCTCTGAGATGCAGTGATTTCATATCAAGTCATTGCCCAAATGGGGGTCAAAAATCAAGTTCACACCCCTGTCTCCAAGGCTGGCAAAACTCACCGTGCAACATGGCTGCATCCAGGGCTCTCCATCCACTTGCATGGGCAGCAGCTTGTTAGTCCTGGAATCCCGAAAACCAAGATAACACAGTGAGCTTCTCAGAGCTGGAGAATCAGTGTGGTTCCCATAGGGGAAAAAGAAGTGGGAAGACCTTTATTGGTCCACCTACCAGTGGTTTTCTAAGACTCTCTGAAGCAACTTGTTAAAATGGAACCCTGAGCTCCACTCAGGGATTTTTTTGGCAGGTCTGGGGCCAGGTGAGGAGATCCTCACTTTAAGAAGCACTAGTGGGTGATTGTGTTGCCTTGGTCATAGGAACCCACTTTGAGAAACATTGACATGCATGAGAAATAAAAGCCACAGAAGTCTAGGAAACAGTGGTCAGAAACAGAGCAGAACCAATGCTAAGTAGTAGACCCTCCTCAGTCCAGCAGTCAACCAGAGGGCCAGCACTGCATGCCAAAAAACCCGGCTCTGGAAATGGAAAGACCTGGTTTCTATGCTGAGTGAGTGGTTGCATAATGTCCATGAGGTAACGTCTCCAAGCTGTACAGGACACAGCTCAGGCCTGAGTGTGTATTGCCTTGTATTTGATCCTGAACAACAATATGACCTGGGGTTGCCATGGAATGTGGATCTGGCTTAACTGGAACAAAGGCATCCAGGAATACAGTTCCCAAGGATAGAAGGAGAGAGAGGATAGAGGTAGGTGGGGGTGGGGGTTAGGGTGAGTGTTGCTTTCTTGCTTAGCACAAGGCTTTTTTGGTATATAGATTCTTTTTTATTTTGTGGGGGTGGGTTCCAGGGATTTAACTCAGGGACCCTCGGTCACTGAGCCACATCCCGAGCCCTATTTTGTATTTTATTTAGAGACAGGGTCTCACTGAGTTGCTTTGCTGAGGCTGGCTTTGAACTTGAGATCTCCTGGCTCAGCCTCCTGAGTTGCTGGGATTAGAGGCGTATACCACCGTGCCCGGTGATTCTTGAAAGACAGATATGAGATCCTCTCACTTATCCTGTAAGGCTCTGAACTCAAACTCCATTACCTTTGGGAGGAAAGGTGGCCCTTTGGAGGCCATTGGTTGGGGTGATGAGATCAGATAACCCCCACTCTCTAGGAAGCCCTCACCTGGATTTGGCATCTGTCTTGTTTTTGAAATTAGGAAATGAGAGGGGCAAAGGCATTTTGGTGTAACGACTCTCTGACTGGCCTTGAGGATATTTAATAATAAAAACAATAGATATAATAGTAAAAACAAATAGTCAGCCTGTAACCCCAGTGGATCAAGAGGCTGAGACAGGAAGATTGTGAATTCAAAGCCAGCCTCAGCAAAATCGAAGCATTAAGCAACTCAGTGAGACCCTGTCTCTAAATAAGGTATAAAATAGGGCTAGGAATGTGACTCAGTGGTCAAGTGCCCCGAGTTCCATCCCTGGTACCCCTGTTTTCCACCACTCTCAAAAATAATCTGAGGAAAGAGTGGCATTTTGGCACTTAGGGTTTAAGAAAGAAGCTGGGAAATGCGTAGGAGGATGGGGGCTCCTGTCTTGCCCTCTCTATTTCTATCTGGAAATAGATCCACTAAATATGAAGAAAACCTTCACACTTTTTTATTCTCCAGGGATCAAGTATTCTCAGTGGTCTACATAAGTCATGACCTCGATGAGTTGACAGACTGGACCCACTCAGTATTAGAGACCCGGAGAATGGACAGGGCTAGAGAGATTAGTCTGGAAAACAGGGTTCCCAATAGGACAACAGCTCAAAAGAGGGGTAAATCTCTGGGGTAACAGAAAGGGAAGACAAAGATAAGCATGAAGAAAAGGGGAAAGTATGGGGCGGGTTGTGGCTCAGTGGTAGAGTGCTTGCTTAGCACGGGCGGGATCCGGGTTTGATCCTCAGTACCACATAAAAATAAAGGCATTGTGTTGTGTCCATCTACACCTAAAAAAATAAATATTAAAAAAAAAGAAAAGGGGAAAATGGAATAGACCCTCAGCTAAGAAAATCAGGGAAGCAGCTGAGATTCAAGGTAGGGCCACCATCAGAGTTCCCCCAAATGTGCTCTGATGACACTCGCCCAAAGGGTTCTGGGAGGAAAAAAAAATCAAAGACCTTTGGGAAACCCTGCATGCTGTGACCCCTCTAGGACATGCCTGGGCAATACTAATAGATCTGATTGTAACAAGTGAGTAAAAAAAGGAAAGAAACAAAGACTTTTGAAATAATCAGATGGGGAAGAAATATCAGGAAAAAATGTGACTAGTTGCATTGATCAAACGGAGGTAACTGAAATCAGAGGATCCCTTCTAGTAGACCCCATATCTTCCAGACCCTGCAGTGGCAGGCTGAGTGGCCCATACCCTGAAAAGCTGTTATCTTCTTAGTCAATTATGACCAGTTTGCTGATGGCGATGGTTTCGCGTGCAGAGGTGTACAGGAAATAGCATTTCCAAGGCCACTATCCAACACAGCAGAGCAGAGGCAGGGCACCTGGTTTTTATCAGCGTGCTTCCTGGCATAAATCTAACATTTTAATGTGTAAAGATAAAAAAGGTAAAGAATTGGACCTCTGGTTCTTTGGACTTTATAATCTTGTATTCCTGTTTAGAGAATTTCACCAGGACATTTTAAGAAAACAGCCAACTGGTTTTGTGGTGAACCCTCTAGGTGCTGTCTTGGATGGTAGCCTCCTATCCTGTATGGAGAATGGTCTACAAAGATGTTCTTTACAAACAGAACCAAGCTTCTGTTCTCCACTTTCCCTGCTCTGAAATCCAGAAATAGCTTCCTCATTATTATCTGCAAGAATGTTTAGAAAGATGAGGAGACTTGGAGGCCGTAGGGTGACAAGGAGCGTACCTGATGGTGACAGAGGAACACTGGGCCAACCTCCTGCCCGCACTCTTCAGGCCGGTGTAGATCTGCCCCATCTCCATGGCTCCCTCAAGCCCCACCACTTCAAGGAGCTGGTCACTGAGGTCTGCAGGGTGAGAGAGCAGAAGCAGGACATATGCCTCTGTTTGTTTCTCAGACTGACTGAAGCCTGAAGGTCCCTAGATGGCCAACCCAGATCTGTCAGCATCCCTTCATTTCTACCAAGTGGCTTTCTTATACTTGCTCCACTTTCTCCAAAGGTCAATAAATATACCCCTTCATAAGCAAAAGCCCAGTTCTAGTGTAAAGAGGTTTGGATACAGAACACGTATTTGCATCCAGTGAATAGGTTGGTGTATCATGAGGCCTCTTCAAATGTTGAGGGACATAGAGGATGAACCAGCTATTTCTGAGATAATTTTCAACGCCACCTGCAGCAGAAAAAGACACATTGACTTGGGACCAGGAGAGAAGAAATGTTGGTCAAGGCCATTATCTACTCTTTTCTTAATTTCTGAACAACATCTTGGCCTTCTTGACAAGGGGTGATGGTTAATTAACCTCAAATTTGGCCTGTGGTAAGCCACCCGTGAGCCAAAACTTCTTGGACATCCTTAGGAAAATCAGTGACCTCTTTGAGGACACCAGGTACCTAATCCAAGCCAAGGAAAAGAATATTTCACCTATACCAGATTACTGTGGACCCAGAGTGAAAAGGAGGGGTAGAAAACCCAAGTCTCAGGCTCAGAGCCACCCAGGATCAGTGGCCTCCTGTGGTGGTGGCAATTGCTTCCGATTCAGAATCTGGAAGTGGTCCATTTTGTCACAGTTCCTGAGGCTTGGATTTTGCTTCCCAATTTCCCTTGCGAAAGCATGACAGGACTGATGTTGGATATTGATATTGACTCACTTTACAATGCAACTTTTATGTATTTAAAACAGAAACACAATTAAAAAGCAGGGTTTTAAAAAGCTTCTATTCCTTTGCCTGCCCAGGTAAAAGTACCTTTCTCACAGGTTGTAACTCACCACCTATCGGCTATTAATACTCTCAGACCAGAAAACTGGGTGAGGCTTTTGTTTATTGAACGGATGGTTTCTGTCCTCTGAAGTGCCTTCTGATAAGTGGAACAGTGTTTAAGATTGGAGAGGAGATATTTGGGTTGGTCTTTATTCTTTTGTTTGGAAGACTAACTATTGTTTAAAAAACATGGTCTTGATGGATGTATTTCTAATGAAGGCAGCTAAACAAAGCAGGGGGCTGACCACAGATGTGTCAGCATTGCACAGTTTAAACTCCTGATGATCACTAATGGACATCAGCTGCCAGGAGATACACAAACTATAGTAGTCTTTCTGAGACAGGTACTTAGCTTTCTCCTCTATATCCATCGACACTCCACTTGCCTTCCCAATTACTCCTTACCACACCTCCACGGAAAAGATGCTGTCTCCTTAAGCTCTCCATCTCATTTGGATTTGGGACAAGAAGCCATAAAAGGGCAATGTTTGTTCAGGAGAATGCTCCAGGCTCTCTGAAGGAGTTTGGAGCTAATAAACAATGAATGTCTAAACCTCTAGTCACTTAATTAGTTCCCTTCTTACCAAAGAGGGTAGAATAACCATTGGATAGTTTTAGCCTACTGTGCTAATCTAATAGTGTCTGTGAAAACAACATGGGCAGTGGATGAGAGGGTTGGGGGAGGAGAGAGAGGAGGGGGAGGAGGCAGGAAGGGGAGGAGGCAGGAGGAAGAAAGAAATGAATAGAGTGCTTCTAGGGGTGAGGAGGGTGGGGGAGTTATGTTGGGGTAGGAGAGAAGGAGAACTTTTTAGAAGTTTCTCTAGTGGCAGAGACAGATGTCTTAAAAATGCTGCTCTTTGTACCACCATTTGGTATCTGACAGTGCTGTGATAGTTCAATGTTTTCCCTCCTTGAAACATTCCGTGGTAACAAAATGTTCTAATAAGCAGGGGACTTAATAGACTCAAGCATTTCAGCTTTACAATGTCTTGGTCTTTTAACAAATTTTCCTGTTGAATGGCTTTAAAGTTGTTATCACTTCCCACACATTACCTTGTAGCTCTCACTTCCCACACATTACCTTGCTTCTTAGCTCAAGAGGAGAAGTAATGAAGGCTGAGCTCATCAGCAGGAGTGGGTGGGTGGGGGCAGGGGCTTACACAGATGTGTGACCCAGGAGAGAACTCAGGGGAAGGGGCTAGGATCTTGCTATATTTTCCCCCACTCTGCCTTTGGATTTGTGCTCTGAGAATCTTCCCCGGCATAAAGAGGCAAGAATGACTCCGGTCTGCTGGGTGAAGCAAGATCCAATTGCTCTAATCCTTCTTTACTATTGCCTACCTGATCCTACTTTCAACTTTTTACAAAGAAATTGTTAGTTAAACCCACTTAACTTTGTTTTCCAAACTTACTAAATAACAAGACCCTTCTTTTTATGTGCTACCTATACATAGCTCATGGTAGAAATTTTTTTTTGTTTATTTGCAATATATTTTTGGAAATTCTGGCATCACCTAATCCTCTTACTTCCTTTATCACAGTGATATTTAGGTGCACATTAACTCTGGTGTTAAAATGAAAAGAACAGAGTGGTTAGGGATGTAGTTCAGTGGTAGAGTGCTTGTCTAGCATGTATGAGGCCCTGGGTTGGATCCCTAATGCCAAGAAAGAAAGAAAGAAGGCCAGGCGTGGTGGCACACGCCTCTAATGCCAGCAACTCTACAGGTTCAGGTTGGAGGATCACAAGTTCAAAGCCAGCCTCAGCAACTTAGGAAGGCTTTGTTTCAAAAAAGTGTGGATGTGTACATGCTGCTCAGTGATTAAGCCCTCCTGGTTTCAATGCCCAGTACCCAAAAAACAAAACAAAACAAAAAAAAGGGAACAGAATGAAGTTAGTGTCTAGGCACACTACAGTTAGTGTTAGGACCCAGAATCCAGGGTTGAAACAGCTGGTATACCAGGTGTCTTTTTTTTCCTATAGGCACCAATAATTCTGAATATGATTTTGGCAATTTACATCCTTTCCATATTGTCTTTATACTACTCATCTTGTTAGTGTTTAATTTAGATATACCTTAGTATAACAGAAATTCATTCACTCATTCATTCAACAGTTGTAAAATATCAACCAAGTTCCAGAAACTATGTTAAGAATTGGTGATACAAAATGTTCTCCTTTTGAAGGATTCTTGGCCAAGAAAGAGAAATAGAATTAGGTGTAAAAATGCCATAATTGAATTGTGGGAACAAGGAAGCCCAAGTGGCTGATTACGACTGGACAAGGTGTAGAAGGTAGGTGTCACAGATATTTAAAAAAGATGTTGAAGGCTGAATGCCAAGGTAGTTTGCTGGGTTGAGAAGAGGAAAGAAGGAGGATATTCTAGGAATAGGAATAATGGTCATGTGTGGGGCTGGACAAGCGCAGGTTGGAGAAAAAATTAATTTAGTAATAATCCTATTTGGCAATTTCATTAGAAAATATATATTTAAATTTTTTTTTTCCCTAAGGAGAATTACTGTCCAGAGACTCTTTTTGGCCAGAGCTAGAGAAAAGGGTCTCCAGGCCAAGCTTAGACAACCATAGAGCTAGGCCCTTCAACATGGTTCTTGTTATTCTTTGGTAAAAAAGCTTTGCTCAGTGTTTTTTATACAACACTTAATATAAACTCTCCAGGAAAGAGAGAAGATTAGGTATGGCAAAGCAGAGGAGGGAGACTATGGAAGCAAAGGAGAAACACCAAGGTCAATAATATAAGTTCCGATTCAGCCCATTTGATTCAGCCTCCACTATATAATTTTAGAAATACAAATTTGATCATGTCATTTTATACCAAAAATCCTCAGTGGCACGGAGCAGTACACCAAATGCTGGGCAAGAGGAGAAACAATTTGCATTCCTTAAACTGATGATATAAATCAGGAGAAGATCTTTTAGAAAGATTTTGGCCAATTTTAATGAGTCTAAACTTTTCAGACTGTTTAATTCATGATTTTTCTTTCCTGGGATTTATGGTAAATCATTGACAGAACCCAAGTTTGTACAAATACATACATTGTGTCATCATAAAAATTATAAAATTGTAAAATCTCCTCCCCCATTTCCACTGGTATGGGATCAGTTAAATAAATGATATGGTATCCAAATTATGGAAGTGGAATTTTTTGCTGTCATTAAAATATTTACAAAGTTTCAATAATATTAAATATACTTATGTTACATGGTTAAGTGGGAAGTTAGGATATAAGTTTACCTATATAGCATGTTCTTGACTAGGTAAGAATGTGCATGGAAGGAAAGAACTCATCCCAACAAAATTGTAACAGAGGCTTGTTCTGAATTAAAAGAAATTAAAGGTGATTGCTATTTTCTTTTTTATGCTTTCTTCTGAGGTGTTTCCTACTTTCTTTAAGTGTACATAAATATTATAACTTAAAAAATCATTGAAGAAACTGACCAGTTATTTTTCATGGTAATAAAGGCCAAGTGTCATGAAGCATCTCTGGATTACCATGCCTGAAGTTTGCTTTAGATACTTGTCACATTCTCCCTGGTAGATATGATCAAATAAAGAACAAGGGAATCGTGGCTCATTGTGGGCTGGAGATAGGTGCCATTATTGTGCTACAGAGTCTGGTTGAGTAGAGAAGGAAATGAAGAATGAATGAAAAAGGAGAAGATAAGTAGAAATTTGAGAAGTTCTAGAACAGGGGTTGGGAGATGGTGGGAAAGAGAAGGTTGGGAAGAGGAGCTGTGAACAGTGCCAACTGATGACAGATTCCACTTGTGGCCCCAATAATGAGCAGCTGAAAAGGACGGCAGTGATGAGGATCAGAGTATTGGAGAAATGAACCTAGATCAGTGGTTCCTAACTTTGCTGTGTGTGAGGGTTACCTGGGCGCTTTTAAAAACAACAATGCCCAGGTTGCACCCTAAAGCAGTTAACTAGAATGTGTGGGCATGGGAGCCAAGCATCAGAAATTGTTTTCAAGATCCCTGGGTAATTCCAAACTGCAGCACAGTTCGGGACCACTGGGCTGTGATTGGCCTGTTGGCTTCTCAGAGACAAGTTCTCAGAGTGTAGCTG